CCCCATCGCCTGGTGATTGACTCAAAGTCACTCAATTGGCATTCATGCCTAAGACAAAATTAGAACTCACTGTCTCCTGATGATTGGTCCAGTTACCCAACTGGCTTTCATGCCTAAGGGGGGAATACAACTCCCTGTCTCCTGGGATTGGCCCAGTCACCCAATTGGCTTTCATGTTTAAGGCAGGACTAGAACTCCCCATCGCCTGGTGATTGACTCAAAGTCACTCAATTGGCATTCATGCCTAAGACAAAATTAGAACTCACTGTCTCCTGATGATTGGTCCAAAGTTACCCAACTCGCTTTCATGCCTAAGGTGGGACTAGAACTCCCTGTCTCCTGGTGATTGGCCCAAAGTCACCCAATTGGCTTTCATGTTTAAGGCAGGACTAGAACTCCCCATCGCCTGGTGATTGACTCAAAGTCACTCAATTGGCATTCATGCCTAAGACAAAATTAGAACTCACTGTCTCCTGATGATTGGTCCAAAGTTACCCAACTCGCTTTCATGCCTAAGGTGGGACTAGAACTCCCTGTCTCCTGGTGATTGGCCCAAAGTCACCCAATTGGCTTTCATGCCTAAGACAGGACTAGAACTCACAATCTCCTGGTGATTGGCTCAAAGTAACCCAGCTGGCTTTCATGGCTAAGTTGGGACTAGAACTCACAATCTCCTGATGATTGGCCCAAAGTCACCCAATTGGCTTTCATGCCTAAGACAGGACTAGAACTCACAATCTCCTGGTGATTGGCTCAAAGTAACCCAGCTGGCTTTCATGGCTAAGTTGGGACTAGAACTCACAATCTCCTGATGATTGGCCCAAAGTCACCCAATTAGCTTTCATGCCTAAGACAAAACTAGAACTCACTGTCTCCTGATGATTGGTCCAAAGTTACCCAACTCACTTTCATGCCTAAGGTGGGACTAGAACTCCCTGTTTCCTGTTTCCTAGCCGGGTACCTTAACCCTTAGACCAAACTGGCTCTTGAATAAGTGAAGCTGCAGAGCGATGTAGAAGGAAGCGTGTCTCCCCTCCCATAACTCCAGCTGAAACAACCCCCCCCCCATAAATCCAGAAATAATCCCCCAGAGTCTTAAGAAATAAGGCAGAGACACCAAGAGAGGACGCTTCTTTCAAACGGGGGGGGGGGAGACATTTTTGAGAAATTGCCAAGACAATTTTGGCTCGGTGCTCCTATTTACGCTGCCCAGCTGTAATTGCTAATCAGGTTACGAGTGTGATGTACACCAGGCCCCTTCTCTCTGGTTGTCTCCTGGAATTGCGATTTGGAAGATAGCTTATTATTTTTATTTTCCTGCTCAAAGACATCCTAATAAAAATGAGCCTCGTTGTCGTTGGCCTCTTGTCAACGGAGCAGCTAAATATACGAGCAAGGATATAAAGCACATCGAGAGGTTGTAAAAATATATTTCCTATCCATCGAAACACTCTTATTTATTTATTTTTTAAAAAGCCTGGGTCATAAAAAAAACCCCAACATATCTTCACTCCTGAATAACAATATCCTGTGTCGTAAAGCCACACTGTTCCCACTTAAACGCTGGAAGCACATTGCGGGAACACAAAGGACTCCCTGCTTCCTGACCTTGACGTTTGCGATGGGCGATGAAATGGTATTTTATATCGTCTTTTCAGAAGAGAAGATTCACATCAGTTCTAAGATGTTCGTCTTGTCCAGCCAAGTTTGATCCTGGAGAGTTTTGGCTTATTTATTTAAAGCCATTCTTCTTCGGTTTTATTACTCTTGGCGAAGGGGCCATATTTTTTTTAAAACGACTCTTGGCTGGGAAATGGGATAAGAGAGCATTCATTGGCTGCAGTTTGGTTTGGATTTCTGGTTTATCCCAGTGGAAAGCTAGTTAGATAGGAGACAGAGTGAAGTCACGGTTTTGGGAGTTGAAGACCTGGGTTGAGTCTCCTTCCATGGTCCATAATGTCAGATCAACTTCAAAGAGGGAAATCATCAATTACCAAAGCATAATAGCAAAAATGTTTTAGATGTACCTTTCTTTCTTTCTTTTTTCCTTTCTTTATTTTCTTTTTTCCTTCTTTCTTTTTTCTCTTTCATTTTTCTTCCTTCCTTCCTTCCTTCCCCCCTCCTCTCTCTCTCTCTTTTTCCAGTTGTCTCTCGAAAAAGCACCTTTGGGACAACCATGACATGGATGACTGAGAATCTTCATAGACTTACTTTCTCTCCCTCTCTCTCTCCTCTTTCTCTTTCTTCCTCCCTTCTTTTCTTCCTTTTTTCCTCCCTCTCTCCCTCACTTTTTCTTTCTTTCTTTTTCTTTCCTTTCTTTTCCTTTCTCTTTTCGCTTTTTCTTCCTTCCTGCCTTCCTTCCTTTTTTCCTTCTTCCTTCCTTCCTTCCTTCCTTCTTTCTTTTTTTCTTCCTTCCTTCCTTTTCCCCCTCCTTCTCTCTCTCTCTCGTCCAGTTGTCTCCTGAAAAAAGCACCTTTGGGACAACCATGACATGGATGACCGAGAATCTTCATAGACTTACTTACTTTCTCTCCCTCTCTCTCCTTCTCTCTCTCTCCTCTTTCTATTCCTTCCTTCCTCCTTTTCTTCCTCCCTCCCTCTTTCTTTTCTTTCTTTTCCTTCCTTTCTCTTTTTGTTTTCTCTCCCTCCCTCCCTTCCTTCCTTCCTTTCTATCTCTCTTTATTTCCCTTCACCTCTTATCTACCTTGCTTTTGGTTTCAGGTACGCAACAGCAAAGCCAGTGGATACTGCTTGGACCAGGGTGCAGAAGATGACAATAAAGCCATCCTCTATCCATGCCACGGAATGTCTTCCCAGGTAAAAACACACCTTTTCATGCTCTTCTGAGGTCAAGTGAGACCTTCACTTTTGAGAAGGAGAACTAATCCTCCTTCCCTTTCAAGCTAGGTTTGAGGCTGGAGGTTGAGCAAAGCAACACAAAGTCTTGAGGAACCTTTAACCAAACTAAGAGGCACATTTAATGTAAAACAGGCTTGTGTCCCTTGGCCACAAAGTCAAGACCTCATGGATTTGGGTGAGGAGGATCAATGTTAAAGAGGTGGTAGTTGAACAGTGAGATGAGAGCTAAATGTTTAGCAGCTTTTGTTCTGACCTAGGCCACCCAAGAGGATGAAGCTTGTCCCAACAAAAACCCCTTTTATTAATTGACTGTGAATTCTGCTCATTTCCATCCAGCAAAGTCTTTCAAGGGAGGATTTACAGTCACAGACCTTATCTGGCTTGGAGAGCTGCCAGGCTGAGATCTGCAGAACTTGGCAATGAAGTGAACTAATTGTCTCCTGCAAACTCCACTCCCCTTTGGTTCCTCTTTTATTTCCTCTGGGAGGGGCCCTTCATCGTCCGCCTTCCTCCCACATCAACCCCTGTTCTTTAGCTATTCCATTCGTCTGGCCACTCTGCGCACGCACACACTGGGAACAGGCTCCAGCTGTTCATCTGCCCCACTGATGTCTGACTCCGAAGGCAGCTGATAAGTGGCATACGGCCCTGGCCCCTCTCTGCCTCCGATGCAGAGCCCTCATCCAAGCCTTCCCCAGACTCCAGGACTGGCCCATCTTCCTCCCCAACCTCCTCACTGTCTGAATCTACTGCCAGCTCCACTGGATGCTGGTGTGCCACAACAGCTCTCTTGTTGCATTCGTGGTGGTGCTAGATTTAACTGTGGTCTTATTATCTTTGATTTGGTTTCGATCTCAGCTCGTCCGTTACAGCACCCAAGGATTGTTGCAACTGGGCCCCCTGGGATCCACGGCGTTCCTACCCGACTCAAAATGCCTGGTAGATGATGGGAAAGGAAGGACCCCCGCACTGAAGAAATGTGAAGATACGCTGAGACCAACCCAGCGACTCTGGGACTTCACACAGGTACATCGGAATATATAGATATAAGGGATACTGATAGAAGAGAATAGTTGTAGCTGAGGGATGAACTGTGGAGTATTTGATGCTCTCTGAGCTTGGTTGCTTTCTTGCAGACATTTCATGATCCAACTAGGGAACATCATCAGTGCTAGAAGGGAGTGAGTTTTGCACAGAGGAGGAGGACTGTGTGGTCCTTGGTGCTCCTTGAGTTAGGTTGTTTTTTTCCTAACATTTCATGACCAAACTAGGCAACATCATCAGTGCTAAAAGAGAGTGGGGTTTGCAATGTGAAGGAGGGGAAAAGGAGGAGGAGGAGAAGGACAAGGACGAGAACTATGGTGTCCTTGGTGCTCCCTGAGCTTGGTGGTTTTCTTGCAGACATTTCATAACCCAACTAGGCAGCAGCATCAGTGCTAGAAGGGAGTGGAGTTTGCAGAACGGAGGAGGAGGAGGAGGAGGGAGGTAAAGAGGAGGAGAAGAACTGTAGGGTCCTTGGTGCTCCCTAAGCTTGGCTGATATTTTTTCCAGAAGTTTCACCATCCAATTAGATAATATCTTCAGTGCTATCAGATTATCACCACTCTCTTCTACCACTGATGGCGTTAGCTAGTTTGGTCATGAAACATCTGCAAGAAAACCACCAAGCTTAGAGGGCACCAAAGACCCCACAGCTATAAGTGTGGAACTGAAAGGGAATTTTTATTCTGTTCAAGTATTACACTTCCCAAGTCATTGCCAACTTATTGCCTTCCAAATGTATTGAGATTCCTGTTCCTACAACTCTCAACCACCATGGGAATTGAGAACTCTGGAAATTCCATGGGATTCTGGGAGCTGTGTGAATGCTGAGGATTCTGGCAGCTAAGGATTTTGGAGTTCTCTAAAATTCTGGGAATTCTCAAATTCTGGGAGCTGAGGATTCTGAGAGTTTTCTGGAATTCTGGGAGCTGAGTATCATGGGAGTTCTCTGGAATTCTGGGAACTGAAATGGAGGCTGAAATGAAATTAGACTTACATCGCTAGCCAGCATTCCATGCCAGGAAAGGGAAACATACATGAAAAAGAACACACTGACATATAGAAATATTCCCCAACTATTATTATTATTATTATGAAGAGTCTCAAACAATTTGATTTTCCATTTAAGGGAAATAAAGCAATCAGTCATTCTGATTACATTTTTTTTTTTACTCTCTCTTTTCCTGGTGCCTGCAAGCAATGCCTGTCCCCAACAGAAGAATTTGCGTTTGGAAGGAGAAAGCTGCATATTTAACTCTTCCCTCACTTGTCTTTTTTTCACGGCGCAGTCATTTTTGAGGCAGCCTTTTCCTTTGGTTCAAATTTTTTCAGCACACAAAGCCAAGCTTTTAAATTCTTCCCCACACCAGCACATAACACTGTAGTCAGGTCTCCACATTCTCCGTTTTTGAAAATCTAATATTCTGGCTATCTCCTTTTTCATTGTTAGAGTTAGCAGAGTCATCCCAGCGTGCCGATTTTTCTTTCCCTTCTAAATTCTACAGAGTGCAATTTCCATATTTTGCTTGCTTTTTTCAATTTTCATCTGAGATAGGAGGGTGTTCTTTCCTTGCTCCATCTAGTAGCAATTATTTAAGTCCTATTCTGGTCTGGCTGCAAATTTGAGAGTTCAGAGGTCTGGGACCCAAAATGTTCTGATAATGATCCTTGCTAAGAATGATGCGGTTGAATGTATCTCTAAATATATTGAGAAGTAAATAAGGAGGCTAAACTGTATGACGAATTGCTAGAATTGGGTATTTCTAGTCTATGGAAAAGATGGATTGGGGTAACATGACAGCAGTCTTCCAATATTTGAGGGGCTGCCACAAAGAAGAGGGAGTCAAGCTATTCTNATATGTGGTGAAAACGCTACTAGACAGCAAGCAAGAAATAACTGGTATAGATTCTCTTGCTTGGACAGGAGGTTGGACTAGAAGACCTCCAAGGTGCCTTCCAACTCCGTTATTCTGTATTCAAAATTAAACACCTCTGGGGAGGAAAAAGAAGAAAGGGGAAAGGAGGGGAAGCAAGAGTAGGAGAGTGGGCAAGGAGGAGGAGAAGAGAGGATGAGTGGAGGAGAGGGAGGGGAAAGAAGAAGAGGGAAAGGAGGGGAGGAAAGAAGAAGGTAGAGAAGGGACGTTGGGAAGAAGGAAGGAATAAGGTTGTTGCAAAATAAGATGGAGATGCAGGGTGGCAAGAAAATGATCCCAGTTGTGTCCTTTATATTCTTAAGCAGATTGCGATAAATGCTAGAAGTCAACTGATAATAGTATCTACAAGAATGTATATTTGTGAATGTACATGGAAAGAAAAAATAAAACGATTTTTAAAAAAATTATTATATTTTACAGAGTATAAGAGTATAAGACACACCTTCCCCCCTCCCTAAAAGAGGGTGGAAATGTTGGTGCATCTTATATGCTGAATACAGTCATTTTTGGGCCTCCCGAAGCCCTGTCCCCACATCCCATTTTTGCGTAAAGTGGGCTTTTTTTTACAAAAATAGAGGCTTGTTTGCCTTTCTCCAGCCCCCAGCAACCCTCTGCAGGCTTCAGCCGGGCCAAAGCAAAAAGGGCCCCGTTTTTGTGGGGAAATGGCTGTTTTTTCATGAAAATGGAGGCTTTTTTGCCTTGTCCCAGCCCTGCTGAAGCCTGTGGAGGGCTGTTGGGGGCTGGGGGAAGGCAAAAACTTTTTTTCTTACTTACCTCTTCGAAATCTCGGTGCATCTTATACACCAGTGCGTCTTATAGTCTGAAAAATATGGTAGACACTGCCTGGGGTCCCTCTCAGTCCTATGATTCTGCAGGTTCACTGGCAAATACGCGCTCGATGAAAGTGCGCCGATGAAACCGCGGCGATAAAACCAGAAGGTCGAAATCGTGCCGACGAATGCGCACAGAAGTGCACTGACAACAGTGCACCTACAAAAGCGCACCTTCAACAAAAAACTAATAACAACCTAATAACCCTAACCCTAACCCTGAACCTAACCCTGAACCTAACCCTAACCCTAACCCTTACCTTAACTTAAAGCGCTTTTGTGGACGAAGTTTTGTCAGCGCGTTGTTGTGGGCACGTTTATAACATCACTTTTTTTTGCCGCAGTTTTGTCGGTGCGCTTTTGTCGTGCGCACATTTGTCGGGTCACGAATTCTGCATTCTAGGACACTTAATAATTACCCAGGCCATTCTCATCTTCAAAACCAGAACAGCACTTTTGCTCTGGGTAGAATCATTCTCAAAGACCGATTTTTATCCACTGTCATATAATGGCCTTAACTTTTCCCACAGGTCTGGCAGTGTGGCGGGAGCATGGAAGTCCTGCCTTGCTCCCGGGTGGCTCACATTGAGCGCACCAAGAAACCTTACAACAACGACATCGACTATTACGCCAAACGCAATGCCCTGCGTGCGGCTGAAGTGTGGATGGATGACTTCAAATCCCACGTGTACATGGCGTGGAACATACCAATGACGGTAAGGGGAGGACAAGGCCTCTTTCCCACAAGTGGAACATTCCTGAATTCTGCTTACCAGCCAAGAGGATAGACAGGTCACTTGGTGAAACCTCAATTGAAGTACTTCTGCCTTTTATGATACCGTTCCACCCTCCCTACCCGATTATGCTGAGATTTAATTAATATTTATTTCTGCTTTTTAAAAAGCATCTCTAGATTCAGAAGCTGCTTAAGGGAAGGGAAGGGAAGGAAGGAAGGGAGGGAGGGAGGGAGGGAGGGAGGGAGGAAGGGAAAGGAAAGAGGAAAGGAAGTAGAGGGAGGGAAGGGAAGGAGGGAGCAAAGACAATGGGAAGGAAGGAAGGGGAGGGGAGGAAGGAAGGAAAGGAAGGAATGAGCGGAAGGAAAGGGAGGGAGGGAGGAAAGACAATGGGAAGGGAGGAAGGAAGGAAAGGAAGGAAAGGAAGGAAGGGAAATGAAAAGAAGGAGAGGGAGGGAAGGGAGGGAGACGGAGGAAAGACAATAGGAAAGAAGGGAAAGGAAAGGAAAGAGGAAAGGAAGGAGAGGGAGGGAGGGAGGGAAGGGGGAGGGAGGAAAGACAATGGGAAGGAAGAAAGGGAAGGAAGGAAGGAATGAGAGGAAGGAAAGGGAGGGAGGAAAGACAATGGGAAGGGAGGAAGGAAGGAAAGGAAGAAAGGGAAAGGAAAAGAAGGAGAGGGAGGGAAGGGGGGAGACAGGGAGGAAAGACAATAGGAAGGAAGGAAGGAAGGAAGGAAGGAAGGAAGGAAGGAAGGAAGGAAGGAGAGGGAGGAAAGG